AAAAATTAATTTTTTTATTTTCATTCGGCTACCAAATAATTTAGTAGCTAAAGGTAGGTCTTTGGCGACTAAAAGGAATGTTGTCGCCGAAAGTTAACGTTTGGCGACCAAAATTTTGGTCGGCAAAAGTTTAAAAATTAATTTTTTTATTTTCATTCGGCTACCAAATAATTTAGTAGCTAAAGGTAGGTCTTTGGCGACTAAAAGGAATGTTGTCGCCGAAAGTTAACATTTGGCGACCAAAATTTTGGTCGGCAAAAGTTTAAAAATTAATTTTTTTATTTTCATTCGGCTACCAAATAATTTAGTAGCTAAAGGTAGGTCTTTGGCGACTAAAAGGAATGTTGTCGCCGAAAGTTAACATTTGGCGACCAAAATTTTGGTCGGCAAAAGTTTAAAAATTAATTTTTTTATTTTCATTCGGCTACCAAATAATTTAGTAGCTAAAGGTAGGTCTTTAGCGACTAAAAGGAATGTTGTCGCCGAAAGTTAACATTTGGCGACCAAAATTTTGGTCGGCAAAAGATTAAAAATTAATTTTTTTATTTTTATTCGGCTACCAAATAATTTAGTAGCGAAAGGTAGGTCTTTGGCGACTAAAAGGAATGTTGTCGCCGAAAGTTAACATTTGGCGACCAATATTTTGGTCGGCAAAAGATTAAAAATTAATTTTTTTATTTTCATTCGGCTACCAAATCATTTAGTAGCTAAAGGTAGGTCTTTGGCGACTAAAAGGAATGTTGTCGCCGAAAGTTAACATTTGGCGACCAAAATTTTGGTCGGCAAAAGATTAAAAATTAATTTTTTTATTTTCATTCGGCTACCAAATAATTAAATTAATATTTTGAGATAATAAAAAATAAAATAAGATATTAATAATTTTGGATGGTGGGTGTACAACCTAAAAATAAAAATAAAAATAAAAATAACTATTTTGTTTAGTCAAATTTTCAAGTGGAGACTAATGGTATTGTTATTAATAAAATAAAATAACTATTTTGTTAATTTTTTTATTTTCATTCGGCTACCAAATAATTTAGTAGCTAAAGGTACCTCTACGGCTACTAAATTTTTATTTAGTCGCCAATTGTCATATGTTTAGCTACTAAAAATTGTTTTAGTCGCCAATTGTAATATCTTTAGCTACTAATTTTTTTTTAGTAGCCAATAATCAACATTCCCCTACTAAAAAAAATTAGTAGCTAAAAAGTTGACTTTTGCCGACTAATATTATTTTTGGTAGCCAATTCCGTGACTTTTGCCGACTAAATTAGTTTTGGTAGCTAAAAGTGGTCGGCAAAAATGCTTTTTCTTGTAGTGAATGAAAATGGTGATAATGATTAGAAGAAGAAGAAGAAGAAGAAGAAGAAGATAATCTGATCAAATTAATCTGCCAAACTAATCTTTACAAAAGATGAGGAGAGTAGGTTATGAACTATAAATTTTTAAAAAGATAAGAGTAAGATATCGGATAAGTAGTGTTTCAAAAGTAATAAAGGGAAAATTGATCTAAGATCCTTATCCAATTTTTAGTATGAGGAGAAATCTCAATAATATTTTTTGATGCCTAAGGTCTCTCAATGTTATTTTAGGTTACAAAATACCTATTTTACCCTTCTTTATAATATATGTGGTTTTCAATTTTGGAAATTGAAGATTATATTGCTATATATTTTGTAAGAGATTACGCTGGGATGAATTTGACGATGGAGATTTTCATGGAGATTGATGATGCAGATTTTCGTGGAGATTTTCTAAGTATTTTTAGTTATTGATCATGTACGAGTTGAAGTCGTGTTGATTTGATTTTTAGTAGAGTTGAATCAGGTAAATTTAATAATTAGTATAAATTTTTTATTTTTCATTTGATTTGTATGTAAGGATTTCGATTTCATATTAGCTTTTCAAGTGTATTTTGAATTAGATTTTGTTTTTAGTTTTGATCAATGTGTGAGAGAGGCCAGCCTAGTATAGTTGTTTTTTATTTTTGAAGTTGATTTTTCATTCTTTGTTATTAACAATGGAATTGATTTTGATTTTTGAAGAAGCATAGATCAAGCAAATGCTAGAGAAATTTACAGACCAAATCACACAACAATCTTCAAGAATAAGTTCAAAACGCAGAGAAGTAATATTTTTCAAATTTATGTAGCTTTTATTACGAAATTGAAACCCTAATTAATGAAAAACTAATATAAAATGCAATTAACTGTGTTTTCAGAGAAAAACTCGTTGGATTGTAAAAAAACTTACTAGAGTGAGGATGAAATCCTAATTACGAACTGATATGCCTTGAGATGAGGATGCACTGCGATGATGATGAATTGAGATGACGATGAACAGTAAAAGCGGGTTAGAGAAATTTGTGAGGAAGGAATGGAAAAGATTTTCGCAGAAAATAATGAAACCCTAATATCGATAGTGAAGATGATTACGAAACCCTAATTCTGCTTTTCTCTTGCTCGTGAAAATGGTTGAATATCAGGACTGGAACTCAGTCGTCAGAGTCCAATTGAGTTTTCTCGATTTATTGTGAAGGATATTTTGGTCCAAGAAATAAATAAAAAGCGCACATTCTAGTTGAGAGACCTAAGGTATCATCCCTTTTTTTTGGTGTCTTTTATCCTCTAAATTACTATTATTAGGATTAGGGACTTTAAAAAAAAATTATTTCTTTTTTTTTTGGCTTCCCTATTTGACTCACTACTGTTGTGATGGCATCCTTTATTAAAGAATTCTTAAACCTATCTTTGTCGTCTAGCTAGGGGTCGTTGCAATTCGGTTTTGGATGGTTTGCGGATCGGTTTGGTGTCCACATGTATATGGTTTGGGAAAAATTCAACTCATAATTGCCTGCAAGGATGGTTGTGGTTTGTGCAGATAGAGTTCGGGGATGTGCGGGCGGTTGAGGGCAGTTTGCGGATTGGACTTTTTTCTTTAAAAAATTATTTTGGAGCCTTTTTTTTTCTTCCCCATTTTGCAAATATTTATTTTGTGCAATTTTCTCTCCATTTTCTAAAATGCTCGAACATTAATAATTAATGAATTAAAACTTATAAAATTAAAAATATAACAAAATCAATTCCTAATACAAACAAATCATTCAAAATCCTAAACTTCTAAATCAAATCATAAACTAACACAAACACCTTTTTCAAAACCCTAAATTAGATCATCAATCTCTTTCAGTATCTACTATTCAACAATATAATTAAAGTAAAATCATTCAAAATCCTAAGCTTATCTAAAAGTAATTCTTCATTAACTTTTACATTCATCCAAAATGCAATAATAAAATAACAATGGTCCAAGTTTAAAAAAAATAAAATAAAAGTCTAAGTGCGGCGGGTTCTTGTGTGTGCGGGTTAAACCGCAACCCGCTACAACCTGCAATCATGACATATTCCAAACCACATCCGCCCGCATTGTAGCTAAACCGCCCCATTTGTATGCGGATCGGTTCGGATTGGGCCGGTTGTGCGGTTCGAATAATCCTATGCCCAGCCCTATATTTAGTTGTCTGTATGCTTGCAGAACATAGAGCTGCGAATGATTGAACCTATTTCAACTTCTCAATTCAATTAAGTTATATAAAAAAATAGATTTATATTCAAAATGATAATTTATAAATTTAAATTTATTAAAAATTAAATAATATATTAGAAATAAAATATTTTAAAAAATGAAATCATTAAATTTTAAATAAAAATTGAGTGTTGGTGATGTTGAGTATTTTTTAGACAACAATTGAATTTAAAATTTTTTTTACCCACTCAATTTTGAAATTATTATTAGTCAATTGATTCTATTAAAATTAATTTGAATAATAAACAAGTTACAATTGTACGCACATATACATATAAAGTAGTTAATAAATTTTTTATTCAATTATTTTCTCCAAGATTGACTCAAAATAATTTGAGATTTAAAAATATCTAAATGATTTTTTTTATTTTTTTTGTAAATTATATTCTTTAAATTTTTTTATATTTGAATATTTATATTTTATTATTAAATATTTTAATATTTTAACTAAAATACATCATCTCAGACAATCCCCCCCTCCAAAAAAAAAAAAAAAAAAAAAAACACCGCTTTTTCTCGGCCTTATTTGGTTTGTTTTTCAGAAAAATTTTTGAAAATTTTTTTCTACAAATAAATTTTTAAGAGTAATCAAACCAAATAAATTTTTTGAAAAAAAATTTCAAAATTTTATGGGAGACTTATTTATAAGTCCTATTTTCGGACACTTATGCTATGTTAAGTCCTGTATAATTTCTTATAGAGTCTCAAGTCCTATTTAGATAGGAATGTATTCTACAAGATCTTATGAGTTGTAAATAAATGGTATTAATATACTATTATATACTATAATGGCAAAACCATATATAGGAAATTGAATGTTACCATAGAAAGTAACATTTTCACATTCAATTAAAAAAAATCAAAAATCTAGTAAGTTTGCGAAACGTAACATGACACGTTACGTTACGTTTATGTAGGTGTCACATCATGTTATGTTTATGTAGGTGTTACGTCACGTTACGTTTATGTAATGTCCCATCTGATATGGTCACGTTACGTTACGTTTATGTAGGTGTCACGTTACGTTTTGCAAACTTAATCTATGATAACATTCAATTTCCTATATATGGTTTTACCATTATTTATGATATTAACAATTAATATTGAAGGTAAATATGTCAACAAACTTCACACAGGACTTATGGAAACATAAGTTTTTTAGTGAGACCATATGTAGCATAAGTTTTCATGATAGGACTTATAAATAATTTTCTCAAATTTTATTTGGTTACATACTTTCCAAAATAACTTTCTCTCTCTCATACACATCAAATCAATCATTTTTTTAAAAAACTCTCTCTCCAAAACAAACTTTCAAAACTATTTTAAAAAAAAACAAACTAAACAAATTTTCGTATTTTTTATCTCAAAAACTACTCTCTATGTACACAAACCAAACACACCCCTCATATCATTCATCGTACTTGTGAGCGCTCTCTGTCTCCCTCTTGCTCCTCTTCATCTTGTCGCCGCCGTCGCTAGCATAGCCTTGTCCTCCTTCGTCGATTGCCTCCGTTCGCCGATTTGGTGACTAGTAAGTCTCTCTCTCTCTCTCTCTCTCTCTCTTATTTACTGTCCAGATTTGTCTCTTTTTCTTTGCTCTTTTGCTCTTTTATTTACTCTGCTTTTTAATATTAATTTTTGATCTTGGGTGCAATGACCACCGTTGTTTGTTTGTATTAATTTGGACTAATAATTTTTTTTTTTGGTGTTAGATTGTGGCTGATTCGTACTAATCTCTGCTGTTGAAATTGTAGTGAAATTGTGGAGATTTTAGGTACGTAGACGAGTCTCTCCGAAGCAATCTCTCTTGTTCGAGGCTCAATCATCTGATTTCGCATTTCAGCTCTCTCTCTCTCTCTCTGTCTGTCTGTCTCTCTCTCTCTCTCTCTCTCTATCTGCGTTAACATTTTCATCATTTGAAATTGGTTATCTGTTTTTACTCCATTGTTCTGTGCTTCGTAGCTGTCAATTGTCTGATTTTTCCTGATCTATTCATACGTTTTTTTTGTTTATTTTACCTTTTCTTATTGACTTATTTCCACGTTTTAGAATCTCTCCATCTATTCCTGAGATTCCATATATGTCTATATGTGAACTTGTTTTATTAAGGGGAAAAAAAACACTAAAAACTAAAAACTAACCGTTTTATTCACAGTTCCAGAAATATTTACAATTTTTTTCGAATTCACAAAAATAATATATCATTTTTTTCAAATGTAACACTTTGCTAAATTACCAACGGCCTTGGGAAATGTTAAGACTTGTTACTGATGTCATGCTTATGATGCATATTTAGATGTTGCTGGCTTTAGAAGTGCAATGTTATATCTTTGTTATTAGTTCAAAACTATCAATTCACTCGTCATTATTTCTTTTAGATAGTGTTTGGTTCACTTGAACGATGGTGGAATTGATTGATCATTTCATCAGAATATCCATTCTCATATTTGGTTCGCTAAAAAAAATTATAAAATACATTGTAAATAGAATTATCATTCATCATTGCAATGAAATGGTCTATAAGAAATTACCATTTCGTTCTATTCCACCTTTATTCCATTAAACCAAACACTACATTAATTTCCTTGTCATTCCCAAATTTATTTAGTAGCAAAAAAAGATAAATTCTTCTGAACCCGTGTATTATAAATGAATACTAGTAAAGCATACATCTTTATGAATATTGGCAACATGGACTATTAATTGGTTAAATATGATATTTGACAATCATTCATAGGAGGCTTCATGGTTGAGTGATTGATGGAGCTATTGTGGGAAAATTCAACTCCAGAAAATATCCAAGCGACTTGTTCACAACTTTTGTTTCACAATCAATTTTTGGATGGTATGCACAAGAATAATGCCCATGAGTTCCCAAGAGCTTCCTAAATGTTTTCCATAAATGAATCATAAATCTCACATTCCGACCTAAGGTGATCACTCCCCTTTTGGGTTTTGGCAAATAAAATACCGATGAACAAATTGAGCTATAATTTCGCAAAAAATATTGCTCCTTCATAAGTGTTTTTGTTTTATCCTTTCCAAAGCGTCCACCAAGTCCACCATCAATGCCAAATAACCTTAGTGGACCATGCAGGTATCTTACCCTTAAAAATATATCCATTAATGAGTATATAGTACCTACTTTTTCATCACTTAGCTCTTGCGCAATCTTTGAGAACAATAGATTAGCTAAGTAGTTGTCTAGTATGAGATCAAAGATGATAATCTCATAACGAAGTGTAGTAGTCAACAGGCAATAAACACGAAGCACACTTAAGCGCAATGATCTCCTACCTCCTGTGTCTTGGAACCTAGGCGCAAAGTGCAAGCGTGCGTTTGATTGACGTAATGCGTACATTTTTCAAAAATAGTGTAAAGTAACAAAGGATTTATAATATATAATAGAAAAAGTTTTAAAAAATAAATCCGATATATTTATCCTTTTGAATAAAATGGTTAGTGCTATACAAGTGTATAAATGTTATATGTGCAATGGAATTCAACTTGGAAGTCTTGGAGAATGAAACCCAAGAGTTTCTAAAACTAAGAAACACAAACAGGAACACATGAAAATTTTTAATAAATGAAGGAAACGTGGGGGACACAAAAATTATAATTTTATGTATTTATTATATATCATATATATATATATATATAAATATTTCATTCAAGGATAATAAGAAAATGCAACTTGACACTGTTTTCTATAATTTACATTCTTATTCCTTTCTTTTATCATTGTATCCCCTAGTTATTTTGTTCAAATTTGTAACTAGTGTCATTTGTGCCTAAACTATGGTTACATTATGTCCTCCAAGAGTTTGAAGCATGTTTGAATCAATTTTTTTGTTTTTGTTAAATGACATATTTCGATGAGTGTCGGACATGTGTTGGGAAGTGTTTGACATGTTATGGTTAGTAACATGGACACGCTATCTTGTTAGAAGTGTTCGTACTTCTAGTTGCAAAACGAAAAACCTACAAAGAGTACAGAGACTTTTAAGTTCATTTCCTTGATTGGTTTATATGACTCATACATCATAATCACATGAAATCTTGGAAGTGATTTTTCGTTATCTGATTGACCTCTCCTATCTAATTATTTGATTTTTCTTGATTTGATAAATAGTGTTCTTATTTGATTATATTTTGTTTGGGCAATTGTTTGGTATTTATTTTGATAAGAATTGGGATTTGATGACTTGTGATTTTTTTTGTTTTTTGCTTTTCTAAATTGATGTCCTTAGGAAATAGAAAAAGATTAGGACGACAATTTTTCACAACATTATCTCGCCCTACCTTTGTGTTCAATATTTTCCCCTTATAGGGCTTCTAGCGATATCAAATGTGGAATCCCCAATTGAATTTGGTATGGGGATGATATGAATTTCCTTGTCTCGTATCCTTGCCACCAACCCTCTGTATTATAGTTATATATATCTTTCTAGAATTTAATCTTGGAACATTAATTTCTTCATAAGAACAATCTATTTATTGAACAAAATGTAGTAGAAAAATATTATATGCTTATCGAAACATGTGGCTTTGGCTTCAAATTACTCATGTGGGCATCATGACTTCAAATTAGTCATTAGAAATCAGTTGTGAATTTTTACTAAAGCCAACCTGATGGGGAATCTGTCTTATTAGGGGCAAGGATGGTAGACGTATAAATATTCTTTGATTGGGATCAAGGATGGTACTTAGAATATTCTCCGACGGGGTTCCAGTAAATAAAAACCGGGCTCATCTTGCCTTGTCACCATTTTAAAAAAAGATTTGATTCATGAAGCCTAATTTGAGAGAGGTAAAATGTCGCAGAGCAACTGTGATCATTAGAATAAGTGATTTTTTTTTTTAGAATTATATTTATTTTTGGTTTATTGATGCAAAATCACAAACGATACGTCATCAACATAATTTTATTTTTTTTGTTATTTTGTGTATTAAGGAAATGAATCATTATCAATATCTTTTCTGCAATTGGGGTTGTTGCAGCTGGTGAGCATTACAAGATTTCTTTTGGTCCTTTTTTTTCTCAACTAAAATCAATAACAGGTTTGTTCTTTTTATTTTTGTGTCATCAGAAAAATAAGGCTCTTGCCGCAGAGGCGGTAAAATGTTGAGCAACAGGGATCAAAATTTACCTGAAGATGTTGTAAATGAGATACTCTCAAGGCTACTCGTGAAATCCCTGTTGCGATTCAAATGTGTTTGCAGATATTGGTACACTCTAATTAAAAGCCCCGATTTCATTAGCAAGCACTTTAACCAGGAAAACAATAATGGTTGTCTCCTTGTTCAGCATTATATTTCCGACATTGATAGATATGCGATTGCTCTTTTCCCAGATGAAACACTTGCTGGCATACCACCTTTGCATGAAAATTTTGATCATCTATAGAGCCTAAAAGATATAGGCAATGTTGTTGGCCCCATTGACGACATATTTTTGTTGCACATTCCTGGGTATTACAGCAATAGTGACCGTATGGCTCTGTGGAACCCTATTTTGAGAGAGTTCAACCGCATCCATGTACTCGAACCTATCTTTCCCCCAAATTTTCATGCCGTTACAAATGTGGTTGGATTTGGGTTGGACCCATTGACTAGGGATTACAAGATTATTGGGATTCGTGACTATGTTGAAACGATTGGTGATGAAACATATGATCTATATTATCCTTATCATGTTGCTGCAATATACACTCTAGGTAAAGATTCGGGGAGACATTTCGATCTTGTTACAATACCTAAAGACCGTACTGTCTATAATTCTTTGTGTGCCACATGCATAAATGGAGCATATTATTGGTTGTCTGGTTTGGATTATAGTGAATATAGGATCCTTTCATTTGACATGCGGCTGGAGGAATTTAGAAAGATAGAGGGGCCTGACCATCCTGAACCTAAATGGGGGTTTCTTTCATTGCACAATGATTCTATGGGTTTGTTCCTTTGTCAAACTGGTGTGATTTTGCAATCTATTATTGATATATGGGTGATGGAGGAGGAAGGCTGTTGGACCAAACTAATAACAACAAATCCCTTTCTAGAAGTTTTTCTTCCACGGGGGTTTTGGAAGGAGGAGCTTTTGTTTGAAAGTCAGACGAATGAGCTGGTGTTGTACAACCATGAAACCCACGAGATGAGAAATCTTGAAATCTACGGATGTGGCAGTGCTCTTGGGCTTTGGGCTATTTGTTACAAGGAGAGCTTAGTTTCAGTGTTTGGACAAAATGATGAGGATGGGAGAAGGAGGGGCTACCAATTCTTTGATGCGGTTCATGACTTCTTTATTACTAGTTGTTGCACGAGCTTAGGGTCTAGGAATCCAGATCCCGAATAATTTATTTATTCTTGTCTTGATTGTCTATCTTCGGACTCACTCTGTTTTATTGTGGGTATGTTTTCTCATTGGCTTATTCTCTGTTTTGAAAAATACTACTTTTGTATGGATGCTGAAATTAATAATTTTTTTTAGTAGTAATCTTTAAAATAACCCGGTCTGACATCTGCCAATGCTCAAATTAAGGGAAGATATCATTTAAGTGGAATGTAAGATAAATAATCTTAAATTAATGAAAATCTTTGCAACACTAACACATAATTTTATAAACTTTTTCATAAATTTGGTACTATTTTTTTAACATTAGACGGACATTATTTCCCCTAAAATTAACAATTCCAAACTCTCTTCTGGGTGCCTAGCCATTAAAACATAACACATCTCTTTGTTTTTACAATTAATGCTTCAATTATTTGAATTACTGGTTTATTGAAAATAGAAAGTTAAGTTAAAAGAGAAAACTATTGCGCTAAATAAATGTATGTGTTGTTACCACTTTTTCCTCCATCGTGAGTCTTTGATCCATTCAAACAGAATGTAAAAACGAAGACTTCATTTGTCTTCTTCGTTGTAATTTATCAATAACTTCCCATTTTGGTATTATAGCAATCCCGGTTCCTCTTCCTTTGATTGTTGTATTCCGGACTTAGGTTCCGTGGAGTTGGTGGTTGTATATTTTATTGTTATCCTTTAATTCCGTGTGTTTGAGTTTTAGGATGTATTAGGCGTGTTTCGAACAGGTTGGTTGAGCTTTATTCCTATTCCTTGTTGTCCAGAATTTTGGTGGTACGCTCGAGCGGGTCCCTTTGCGCTCGAGCGGAGTTTGATATTTGGTTGTCCGCTCGAGCGGGTCTTCTTGTGCTCGAGCGGGATTTACACACTCTCAGTATTTCGTGCCCCTGCAAAACTTTTGCAGGTGTGTTTTTTTCGCTCAAGCGGATTTTCTTACGCTCGAGTGGGTCGCGCTCGAGCAGGTATCTTGGAGCTCGAGCGGGTAGTTCATTTTCTGTAAAAGTACTAGAAGGGGGAAATCTACGCTCGAGCGGCCTTCCCTTTGCGCTCGAGCGGGTGTTATTTGCAGTTGTGTCTTGGCGCTCGAGCGGGTAACCTTCATGCTCGAGTGGGTCCAGTTTTTGTACTTGACGCTCGAGCGTCCTATTCTCCGTTCTAGCGGACTAGTCATATATCAGTTGGCAGCTGGGTAATTTTAAATCACTTTTCACACTTTCTTTCGCTCTCTTACTTTTCTAAACCTCCATTTGAGAGCACCTCACTCTAGAAACACAACTTCTCTCTAGGGTTTGATCTAGTAGGAGTGATTTTCTATCCTTGGGCCTTTGTAAAAAGTGCGGGGATCGTTGAAGGCTACATTTTGATCCGAAAATATTGGGGTTTGGAGCATTTCGAATTTCTTCATCTTCCTCCTTTGAGCTCCGAATTTGAGGTAGGGATTCCTACTCATTCTTATGTGCTTTAACATAGATATTGAGCTTTTTGTATAAATAGTTTGATTTGGGTAATTTTGGGTGTTAGGGTTTCAACGGTATGAAAAAGGGGTTTTATTATCTTGACTCATAAATATGTAATTTGGGTCTTGAAATGATGGTATTGTTGTTGGTTGTTGATATTTGTGCCTTTGGGCCAAAGTTGAGAAAGAGGGAAGAAAACCCTAATCTTTGTTATAAATTAATTTATACAATTAATTTGGGAATGTTATGGAAGTATGAAATTGAGTTGAAGAATTTGAAATTGACTCATTATGAGATAGAATGGTGAAGTTGGAATTATTAATCACTCACCTTGGAAATTGTTGATAATTTATCTGTTGGATGAAATTATTATCTGTTTAGAAATAATTACTTTGGGCTACCGGTGGAGGGTAGTTTTGATTGTTGTAGACAATGCATGATGATTAGGCAAATTAAAACTAATCAATTGAGTATGCCATCGAATATGGCAGTTGATATAATACATGGATTTTATGTATTGATTGGATTATGTATATGATATGTGTTTATATACATTGTGTTGTGTGGGAGGAAATCGGGGATGTACTCAACGATTTAGGGGAAGATAGGGGATGGACCTCTAAACCGGATATTGTTTGGGAGGAGATAGGGGATGGACTCCATTGATACAACACTAAAATATGTATCTTTTGTGAAGTATGGAAGTGTTTTTGTTGGACAGTGATACAGCACTAAAATGTGTATCATTTATGAAGTACGGAAGTGTTGTCATGTGTTACTGATTGTAATAACCCTCGTCACTGTTTACCGAATAATCACTGATTACCGTTGAACTGAACTGATTATGACTGATAATTGAACTGATTAAAGTACTGAACTGACTGACTGAAAACTGGAACTGAATTGACTGAGTATGTGTGTTAATCTGTATTCTATCTGTTAGATTGTTTACTTGATCTGTTTACGTTTTATGTTTAAACTGCTAATTGAAGGCCTTATCGGCGACCGAACCGGGAATTGATTGATGTTTTATGATCCTCATAATTAATGTGATCTTATGGTGTATTTATCTGAAAACTGATTAGGTATGATTAAATTAGATTAAATATTGATGGATTGCAAGTTTTGGACTTAATTACCAAACTAACCCTAGTGGGCCACTAGCTCAACACCTTTAAGAGCCTTGTACTTAAACAACAACATAATTTCATCAGCCTTTCTCCTTGCTTTGCCGACTTAGAGAGAAGAGAGGGAGTGAGAGATTGAATTGTTCATCTTGAATTGCTTGGGAACTTGAAGAATTGCTTAGTAATTGAAGTATAGATTACATATTTGAGCTCCTAGTCTCCTAATTCCAAGACTTAGGTAAGGATTTCATCTTCTCATTCTTGTGTTTGAGCTAATTCTTGCATGGTTCATGATTAATTTTAGAGCTAAGTCATGTTTTAGTTCATACATGGTGAATTGAAGCTCATTTCATGCATGCATGTTTGAATTGTTGAGTTGTGAGTTGATTTCATGGTAAAATGGTATATGCATGCCCATAACCTTGTAATGGTCCATGTTTTCTACTTGTTTTTGGATCAATCGGCTCCTTTAGAGCATCAAATTGAACTTTGAAGTTGTTTAAAATTCATGCATGTTTGCATGTTCATATTGTTCTTGATATTGATTTGAAATTGAGTTGAATTAAACACCCTCGGGCTTTGATTTCTCAAATTGAGCTTTGAACCATGTTATTCTATGTGTTTATAAAGGTTTTCCAGAAAAATGGGCCCAAGAGGATTGGTTTTGATGCATTTGAACCTGGTTTTGGCTTGAAGGTGCAATCTGGAATTCCCAAATTTTGCACTTTCGCTCGAGCGGGTAAATTGGCGCTCGAGCGTGGAATCCGAGCATCCAGTATTTTCTCTGCACTGTTTTACAGTCCGCTCGAGCGGAGTATTGGGAGCTCGAGCGGAGGCATGTGTCTCACGATCGAGCGGGCGTCAAGCGTCCGTCGAGCGGAGATTTCACCCATCCAGTACTTTTACAGTACGCTCGAGCGGGAGAGTTGACGCTCGAGCGTGTACCTTCGTTGCATGTCTGCTCGAGCGGGGAAACATGCGCTCGAGCGGGACTCTGTTTTTCTGAAATTCTGAAACTGTTTTCTGATCACATCTTTGCATCCTCATCTCGTCCTAGGCATTCTTAGGCCTAGTTTAAGGCATCTTACTGAGGATATAGATTTAGAACACACCGAGGCAAATTAGGGATTAAGTTATTATCTTTCCCAGCTGTGTAGCTTAGTGTGTTCAATCTATTAACTGTGTAGGTTGGCGACTGGGGAGACACGCTCTAGCATACTGTAGCCCAGAACTCTGTGAGTAACGATTGTGTAAAGATATGTTCACAAATGATTATCTTTTGAACAACTGAACTGTACTGTTTTCTGAACTGATTACTGTTAACTGAATGAATGTATGTCCTATATTCTGAACTGTATTGTGGCATCCTTAGCACCTACTGCTTACTGTTACTGTGACAGAAATCTCTGTCGGTTCCCTTGTTGGAACCACTACTGTTTACTGACTGATGGCCGTCATTACTGTTCGGTCTTTTAAGACCTACTACTTACTGTACTGTTATGCTAATGGGTGTACCACATATGACTGTACTGACTGAACAACTAAAATACTGTTTAATTGAACTGTTTTCATACTGTAAGGACATTCATTCTTAACCTCTTTACGCATTATGTTATTTTACTGGCTTTTAACTCACTGCTCATATATATATGTAGGTGTTCAGGCACCAGACCACGGCTAGGAGCGTCAGGGTTACTCCAGTTTTGTCAAGCCAGCCTATGTGCCTCACTGCGAGGTTCCGAGCCTATCCTGTTAAGGCTTAGGGGTGTTTTACAATTCCTCTTTCTGTGCTGTCTTACTGTTTTGTATAGACCGAATGTTTACTGTACTGTTATGCAGGGATTGAGTCCCTAGTCTGAATGATTGTAAATAGTGTGTATACGGTTCTGTACTGTTTATGTATAAATGTATGAGAAGTCTTTTTGCATACAGACTGTCACAGCTCATTGGGCATTGTTTATTTACTGTTTTGGCTTCCGCCAGGCCCTGTACTCTGTATTACTGTATTACTGTTCTGCAGGCCTTTGGTAATCTCGGATTACTGGCCGGTTACGGTGCTAAACCCATAGGGCCGGGTTTGGGTCGTGACACTGATACAGCACCAAAATGTGTATCTGTTATGAAGTGTGAAATGTTTAACATGAGTTATTATCTCATCCGAAATAGAAACACTGTTGATATGAGATGTGATCTTAATCAAATTGTTTGACCAGGTTCTGAGCCATAGTTTATGAATTGATTCATATGAGTTAAACATTTATCAATGGCCAATGTTTTAGTTATTGCTTATATTATGTTTAGCATATCTCTATTGGGCGTTGGCTCACCCTATATGGGACATCATTTTCAGGTACTGGTAGCATGCCACCTCCAAGGACGTAGCTTGTGAGGCTTAGTGGCTGGGACATCTTTTGTGATTACATTTTTGTATTACATGTATATCAAGCCAAGGGCTTATTTTGTGTTTCGAGT